CCCCCCCCCCCCCAGTGCTTTGAGACACAACAAATACCTCTAGACAGACATAATCCCTAGCTTTGATTCAGGGATTGTCTGTCTTTTGTACTGTGCTCCACAAATGTAGTCCTGCTCCTTGACAAAGTATCCTAGGCACTATGATACTCAGAAGAGGGAAGTTGTTTTTTTTTAATGACATTATCTCACCACTGAAACCATGTGGGGAGGCTAAAATTGTTTCACCACAGTTAAGATCCAGATAGATGAGCTAATACAATGATCCTCAGCCAGAGCACGGTTCACACTCTGGGGTGCCTTGAGATCTTTTCAAGGGTGCTATGGGGTACCCTGCAATATTAACAAATATGCAGACATGATTGACAAGATAAACCAAGAGATTTCAAACAGAAATCTGCAGAGTTAAAAGCATTCTGACCCGTTGTGCTATTTCTAAATTCTTTGATAAAGTAACTGCCCTATTATTTTTCTGTAGTAAAAAAAAACAAGTGAAAACTTAAGAGCTGACATTTTCTGTGAGGTGCCTTTGACTCTGATTGAGGCCTCAAATCACTTCTGATTGAGGTGCTGTAGTGATGCAAACAAGAACATGTGAGGAGAAGGAAATGGCTAACATCACCGCTTATAAGGAGAGCAGTTTGGTTGGAAGTGGAGAGGTGGAAGCCAAGTTTGGTTGGAAGCCAAGATGGATTTCAAGGAGTGGGCTATACCACAGCAATGGTTAAATTACCTGCTTTAAACTAAGATGCAACACTGACATCAGGATGCAGACAAGATCAACAGGATAGTAGAAGGGGAGGCTACAGAGGCCAGTCTGGAAAACCCTCTTTATTTCATGAGATGAAATGGTTCCTTTCTGAGCTGATTAAAAGATTAGCATGCACTGTGCTCAGTCTTATTAGTTTGAGTTTTATTGACTTTCTTTTCTATGATTGCCAAGAAAACAAAGATTCTTCCAGTAGAACCACTATGGCTTCTTACCGGACCTTTTGGGAAAAGGGTCTGGAACACTATACTGCATTTTTTTTCCTTGGCATGTATTCTATAAAAAGAATGGAATCGATAGATATTGAACCCTTGAGACTGTATCTGTTTTTTGATTAATTTTAACCGAATTGACTAGATAAGCATAGAAGGTGTTC